TGAGAAAACGTTGTACATTGATCTATTACGAACCTACAGAGATGCAGTTTATCGCTCAGATGTTACTTGTTCGGTGTATTTTGATGTGACAGTGAATCTTCTTCGATTTAGCACGCAGGGTAAGCAAGCACATAGTACAAAAACGAGTACATATGAGCCGCTAGAACGGGAGACGATTCAAATGTTGGGCCGTTACCATGAAACGTACCTTGTTAGGAGTTCCAAGCACGGAACAGATCTTGAAAATCATATCAATCTCCGAACTTCCGGGAAAAAGAGGACGAAACGTGTAAAGTTCTGCCATAATACAGCCCACAGCGAATAGGTCGATTGGTGAATTATAGCTGGTGGAGCGCAAGAGCACCTCGGGAGCACGATACCTGAGTACATTTACAGGTTAACAGTATGTAGATAGTGTGAAGGGAAGGATGCTTATCAAACCTTTAGGATATCTTCTAATAAGGCAATCTATGCACTGTCAGTGACATCAGTGACAAGGTGAACAATTTTTCAGCAAATAAACAGTGAATGAGATAAAATTCAGAGTTAAGACCAATGTTCAGGGGGGAAATAATTAAAATGGATCGATAATCTTTATTAGAATAGTCCACGCGATTAGTGACAGAAGTCACGAAAACCTGGTGTTTGTTTTGGGAAACCGGTAACTAAGGCAGAAAATATAAGGTGGAGAACCTTAAGCGGCCAGATTAGGAAAGATATATTAATCCGAGCGACAGCAAATCTGCCTTATACCTACATTGGTAAACTACACTTTTTATTGCGGCAAATCTCGTTGAACTACATAGCGGCAGTCTTTACTGTTTGGTTATGGAACCCGGTGACCCAATCTCTTGGACGCAGAAATCAATCAAATAAGTCACCACTATGATAAGTGATAAGTGAGGTGTTGAGCAGCACAACAGTTAAGCTGCTTACAACCAAAGTTGTTTGCCGATGGCCGGGTTCGAAACTCGAACATAAAGGTCTGACGGAGAATGGTGACAGCGACTCGAACCGCAAGACTACAACCAGCTGTTTCTTTAATTGACTTGTGAAATCAAAAGGACCACATTGAATTAGACATTAATGCATACGATGACCATCAAAAAAGCTAACAGGTGTCACATGGCTACAAGAAACTGACGAATGACAGCAAAATAATCGCCACAGAGATAACACTATTATTATTTCGCATTTGACTCACAGTTAATTGAGTGGTGCGGGATCATTGCTTTTTATTGATTTGAGCTGACTATCCTTCGGACTTCACCTTCACGCACAATTCTTAGTTCATCGATTCCACCATACGCTCGGAAGCACTAGACTCGAAATTTCGCACTTATTGGACCTCATAAGTAGGACATATCCACCGTCCCGTCCGGGATTTGAACTCCGAACCGATCGCATGGAGGTCATGTGCGTTACCACTGCACCATACCATGGATGAACCAAATTGTCAATTCAGGTTTGTTCAGGTTTTGTCTTCAGTGATAGTCAGTTTATTCGGCCCGACAGCAACGAAGGGCGATACAGAAGATAATCTGTCAACTCCAATCGAAAGCCATCCACCAAGTGAGGACTTCCATGCAGGTACGGGTTGATTTGCCGACGAGCCTACAAGGCTGTGCTGGTTGGCGCAGTGGTAACGCACACGCT